TGAACTCTCAGATGGAAGACTACCTTACTGTAGTTTATCTTTTGAAGCTGAGACCTCTAGACTTTTTCTGTGCTGAGGCATGCAATCGATTGTCAAGTAATTTGTGAAAGACTGTCCAATCTAAAGGTGTGCAGGACAAGAGCATTTGTTGTTTCTTTAGTATTTAAATTATTTAAAGTTTGCTGTTGCAACAGAGTGAAATACTCTTGCACTTCTTGTATTTGGACACATCTCATTCCAAAACCAGCAGTGTTTCAACAAGATTTTGTTTTACAACAATAAAATAGACGAAAGCAATGCCATTCAAAAGGCCGCTGTAAAATGACATTAATATCAGCTGTTAATTCTAAATACAATAGAACCACTAAAACTTGGCTTTACTGCAAGTGGAACCGACCTTAAAGACTCACTCCGTGCAGCTAAACGTTGTCATGTTTAGCTGTTTAGCACTGTTGTACTTTTTAAATTCTATCTGGTTTCTGAAATTTCCAGAATTGCTGAATTTGGGTGAGGAATTAGGGGAAAATGTGCCTCAATTAACTGCAAGAGATCCTGAAAACCTCAGATTTGTAGAGTTGCATGGTGTCTTAGATTTACATTTTTATTTACATAATCAATAAAGTATAGCTTCAATAAAGAACAGATGCTGCAACAGAATACATGTTTGATACTGTGAAATAGTGTAGACTAGGATGATTATATTTAAAGTCTTAAAGGTTTTCAAGGCTTAAACAGCTCTATATAGTGAACTGACATTTGTACAATGTATGCCCATCATATACAACACGCCTGCTGTCCTCAGCTCCTGAGAGAAACGGACATTATGAAGATGTTGGGTTTATATTCTTTCAGACTATAATGGCTCTTGTGCAGTGAGCAGACTGGTGGTGGAAGATGATGAGGGTCCACCTCAGGCAGTCACAGCTACCATAAATCTAACCGGGCTGACGCAGGGCTGTATTTGAGGAGATTGGTGTGATGTCAGTAGGCAGCTGGGAAAAGAAACCCATCCAAGCATGGCTCTGGGCGCTGAGTTGTGTCATGTTTTACAGTGGTGGGGTGAGGAAACACCTTATTTCTCTGCTGTTTCGAGGCTCTTACAGCAGATTGTTCTGTTTCAGCAGAGTGGGGTGACTGAGGCAATACACCATATTCACAGTGGCTAATTTCCACTGACACTCAGGGTGGGAAGCTTTCATAGTCCAAGTTACAATTTTGTTGACCTGTTGGTATTCTAACTTGCAAATCGTAACATTTAAGGGAATTCTATATTATTTTACAGAACATGTAATAAAGTAATAAAAGGTGGTAACTAGTCACTCTTTGATAGCTAACCATATAACCACTTTCTCGTTGAGATTACTGTTTCATATTGAATCATCAGGAAATCCTTAGCAATAGTGGTAATGTTAGGTGTCTAAATATAAAGCTATTCACGATCATGTTTGGTAGCCAAGCTTATAGTAATGTTGGGTCACTAACGGTAAAGATAAGCTGGTACAGTTTACTTTTAATGGTAAAGTTAGTTAGCTGGTAAAGTAACTAGCTAACATGTAGCTTAAAGTACATTTTGAATAATATTAGTTAGCTGGTAAAGTAGCTAGCTAACATGTAGCTTAAAGTACATTTATTTTGAATCATAATGTTAGTTAGACTAGCTGATAAAGTAACTAGCTAACATGTAGCTTAAAGTACATTTATTTTGAATCATAATGTTAGTTAGACTAGCTGGTAATGTAGCTAGCTAACATGTAGCTTAAAGTACATTTATTTTGAATCATAATGTTAGTTAGCTAAAGGTGAAGTGAACTAGCTAACATGTAGCTAAAAGTTAAGCTAACTTTAAATGGTGATGTTAGTCAGCTAAAGGTGAAGTTAATAGGTAGCAGCATTGTTAGCTGTGGCTCAGTTGGTAGGAAGGTTGAACCGGAAGGTTGAGGGTTCAATCCCCAGCTGGTTAAGACACTTAACCCCAAATTGCTCCCGCTGCTTCAGTGGTGGTGTATGAATGGCATTAGTTACTTCTGATGGATGATACTACATAGCGATCATCACTACCATCAGTGTGTGAATGGGTGGGTGTGACATGTGGTGTAAAAGCACTTTGAGTAGTTGGAAGACTAGAAAAGTGCTATATAAGCTCAAGTCCATTTAGCTAAGAAGTGAGGAACTAACAAAAGCTGTTGTGATTTAGCTGATAGTAGGCTACTATCCTACTTAGTAATATGTTGTGTCATATTGAAGTAGGCTACATGATGTCCCTCCAAGTTTTCACAATCAGTTGTCCTTACAGTAAAACTGCTCAATTCAAGTTCAATTATAAATGCTATTAATTTCAAAGTCCCTTCGTTTGTAGGATTTGCAAAGTAGGCAACTGCAGCTGTATGACAAATACTAGCGTATGAGCTCCACACCCTGAGCATGATGTCAGAAAAAATGGTCACTGGGTTATTATGGTGTAGGCTACGTATTGTTCATCTTTGATTTATTTACATTCTAAATTAAAAGTTTAAATCAAAGGCCTCAGAGTCAAACTGTTGACCTCTTGAAATGAAATGCAGCTGACCTGAGCGTGACTCTCAGCACAACCTGTTAACAAACCATTGACTCTCTGTTGCACTTTTTTCATCTCTTTTATTGATCCTTTCTTTGTGGCTGCCTCATCTGACAAGCAGCAGGAATCTATCTGTGCTCTGTTAAGTGTCCTATGGAGATTCATCGAGACATGCCTTCAACTGCTCAGCCTCTTAAGAGCCTGCGGTGCTCCTCGGTCTGGTCTTCATTAACGTGTCCTTTTCACCCTGGTTATCAAGGATGTATTTGTGTGTGTGTGTGAATAGGTTAAGCAAACCTGGAAAAAAAATCTCATGTCATTTATAGCCTTCTAAAAAACCCTATAGGCCTACTGTAAATAAATATGTAAATTATGATAATATCAAACTTTGAACTATTCTCTTTACCTCATCAATAGCCAATGTCTGTTGAACCTTAAAAGGAAATTCTGGATAGTCTAGGAAGCTACTAACCAAATTTCTTACATTTTAATATACTTCATAAGAGTAAACAGTAAACCTGAGCACAATGATGGAGCTTAATAGTAAAGTTGGTATGCTATAGACATCACCCACTGGTTTCTAAAGAGACATTATGAACCCTGTGATGCCATAATGGAAATGTTATCTCTATCTATATCTTAACTTTTGGTTGACAGTAAGAGACAAAAAGGTGGAGATGAAGTAGCCTGTAGCCTGCTGGCAAACAGCTTCAAAGTGCACCTTACTGTCAAATTAGTCACACCCCTAATTACGACTCATTTATTATGATCAAAACCAATGTGTTTCACCCCCTTAAAACTCACCAAACAAATCAACCCCAAACAGTATTCACCAAACCAGTATGTGCAAATTCCCCCCCAAAAAATGTAATTATTTCTGCTGTAAGAATGAGCATCATAAACTGTATACAGCCAACATGGACGTAGCCTAAGTGACATCACCCATTCGTTTCTAAAGCAGATTTTTGAAACCCAATGATGGCTGTGGCCACGTGGAAATGCTGTCAGAATCTTACTTTCTGTCAAAATAGAAACAGGCAAAGAGCTGGAGACAGGTCTTAAGCCTCCTGAAATAACATGTCTGCCTTATTGTAAATAACTTTCATCCTTCATAAAAGACGATTGGGTTATGCAGTGCTGGTTTACCTTATTTGGTAGAGAAGACACCCCCCCCACATGAAAAGAAGCTATGGTCCTTAGCCGGATGGTCGTAGGCCTATATTTGATTCCTGAACGCGGTGCTCTCTGTTGAATGTCATCTCCCTCTCTCTCTCCCCACATTTCCTGTCTCACTAAAACTTTAAGGCATATACAATTAAGGCACAAATAAAAAAAACTGAATTAAAGTTGCTCAGCTGTCTAACATAACACAAAAAAGGGACTTTCAAGGGACAAAATGGACGGAATGAAGCTTATATGAGCATCCATAGAAAAGATTTGCTGTGTTAATCCAATTGGTACAATATAACTCAAACTGGGGCTTTGTGCAAAACTAAGCTGTAAATATGAATGTTTTATTGTTTTGATGTCCTCTTAGTTTTTATTGTACTTTAATTTTATTCTATGTACTTTTATGTATTTGAATGCGTAAAATAACAAATTTAAAGGAGACACAAGACGGTTGTCCACTATGAGGGACAAAAAATGACTAAAGTATAAATAAATAAATACATGAATGCATACAATAATGTATAAATAAATAAATAATTAAATAAATGCATCAATAAATATATAAATAAATATATATATATTTATGAATAAAGGCAACAATTCATATAAAATTGAATATATAAATAAATATATTCATATATGTATTTCTGTGTCCATGTTGTACAAGGAAAAGTAAATATGTAAATTAAGTGGGCCATCCTAACATTACTGAAGTAGGATTGGTCAATTTTGAAAAACAGACAGAATCAAATTTACATATATATTTTTCCTCTTATGACCTGGACACAGAAATAAATAGATGTGTGAATGTAAAAATACAGAAAAAAATTAATAACTCAATTAATGTGAAAATGTATGCATTGATACATATATAACTGTAGAAATATGCTAATAAATGCATATACTATTAAAATATATAAATATCCTTTTTCATTAACAAAGTGTATTTATTATTTATTCATTGATATATTGTTTCCGCATTTATATATTTATTTATATATTTATTGATGCATTTATTTATTTATTTATTTATTTATACATTATTGTATGCATTTCTCCCAACATTTATTTATTTATTTATTTATACTTTAGTCATTTTTTGTCCCTCATAGAATCAGTGTCATAAATGAGTCATCAAAGTCTCTCCCCGCTGGGTGTTGCACTATTTTTAGTGACTTTTTTTGGGGGGGGGTGGTGGTATGATGTGAATAAGTTTGCATTGTAATATCCGGGGGGCGGTGCAGAGCAGAGTGGGCGTGTCTGCGCTGTGCTACCCCTTCCTAGCAGGAAAACGCTGGAGGAGACATACAGAGCCACACACACAGCTGCAGGAGGACACACAGCTCCAGCGGTGGAATATGTCAGCTCTGTCACTCGACGAGGGACGCAGCGTGGACACTGTATACCCACTGCCTCTACTTTAGGTCGGCATACAAACATCGCCCTGTCCCTGGTGCTGCTGCTGGTCCATCCCCGTCCCCTCCTTCCTCCCTCCTCATTCCTCCTCCTCCTCCTCCTCATCTTCACCGTCCCGTCGCCAGGATGGACAAGACGCTCTGCAGTCCACAGCTCGTCACCAAGAAATCAAACTCTTCCTCGTCGGACCTCGGGAACTCGTCGTCGAGGAAGCCCGGGAGGACCGGCTCGCACAGCCCGGGATCCGGCTCCCTGGGCGGGCCGGCCGGAGGAGCAGGGGGCGGCCGGGGAGCCGTGCTGCTAGGGAACAGCATGAATCTGCAGCAGACGAGGAAGAGGCAGCTGGAAGGAGTGCTGAGCAAATACACCAACCTGATCCAAGGCTGGCAGAACAGGTGAGTGACGACACGTTGACAGAGGAGATCCACTTCTATAGGGCTTCGTGTTGTTATTTGCCCCACGTCCACGTTGCACTTTTGCCACCACGTCACCGTCAGGGGGGGGAGGAGGGTGTGTGTGTAGAGGGGTTAAAGCAAGTAATGCACATATGCTAACTGATGGATAACTATAAAACTATTAACAGGTAAACAAACAAACACTTTCAACTGAAGGACATGAAATCATTTATTTCAATATTTAGATTTATTTTACTTGACATTGTAAAATAAATGTCCAAACTCTGCAGTAGCATAAAAGTATTTTTTTTTTCTAGAAATGTCTGAAGCTAAGATTTCTTAAAACAAACTTGACCAAAACATTTATTTATGGCCATTTGCTGCTTTTCTGAACATTTTTGGTTTCAAACTGTTGCTCAATCAAAACACTTTGAGACATCCGACTGGCTTAGGATAGGATAGGATAGTACTTTATTGATCCCCAGAGGGGAAATTCGGGCGTTACAGCAGCACAGACAAGAAAGCTCAAATACACATTAAACAGAATAGATAAGATAAATAAAAAATAAAAATAAAAACAGGGGGGTATATACAGTACTAAATGAATGTTGAAGTTAACTGGGGGGAATTGAGAATTGAAACAGTATTTGAAGAGAATGACAAGATAAAGTGACAAGTGATTAAAGTGACTTGGTATGATAAATAAATAGCAGCAAGTAATGTAAACAGCAGAGAAGAGAGGCAGTGTTGTACCACAGTAATGCAGAGTGTAGTTATATAATATAATGTAGTATAATATAATATAATATAATATAATGTAGTATAATATGATATAATGTAGTATAATATAATATAATATAGTGCAATATGAACAATAATGTGTAATATAATGAAATGTTATATAATATAGACTAGTATAATAATATAATAAAAAAATATATAGAATGTACAATATATATATAGACCTAAGTAATAATAATAATACAATGATAATAATGAAGCAGGTCATGTGGGTAGTGTTTTATCGGGGTGAAGTTTAGTGTCAAGGATGGACTGTTATTGTTGTCATAGGCTGCTGTTGTACAGTCTTATGGTAGTGGGCACAAAGGAGCGCCTGAAGCGCTTTGTTTTGCACCTGGGGGGGATGAGGCGTTGGCTGAAGGAGCTGCCCATCTGCCACAGTTCACCATGTAGAGGGTGAGAGGAGTTATCCAGGATGGATAAGATTTTGTCCTTCATCCTCCTCTCACCCACTGTCTCCAAACTGTCCAGATCCAGACCCACTACAGAGCGCGCCTTCCTCACCAGCTTGTTCAGCCTGTTTGCCTCACCAGTCTTGATACCACCCCACCAGCACGCCACAGCAAAGAAGAGGGCCCTGGCCTCCACAGACTGGTAGAAGGTCTTCAGGAGTCTGTTGCAGACACTGAACGATCTGAGTCTCCTCAGGAAGAACATCCTGCTCTGTCCCTTCCTGAAGAGGGCGTCAGAGTTGTGAGACCAGTCCAGTTTATTGTTGATGTGGACCCCAAGGTACTTGTATGAGTCCACCCTCTCCACTTCCTCCCCCTGGATGATGACTGGGGCAGGGGGCCTCTTCTTCTTCCGGTAGTCCACTACCACCTCCTTTGTTTTGCTGATGTTGAGCTTCAGGTGGTTGCTTTCACACCATGTGACGAAGCTCTCTAACAGTCCTCTGTACTCCTTCTCATCGTCATCAGTGATGCACCCAACAATCGAGGAGTCGTCGGAAAACTTTTGGAGGTGGCAGGAACCAGAGTTAAACCTGAAGTCTGATGTGAAGAGAGTGAAGAGAAAAGGCGCCAGAACAGTTCCTTGAGGTACTCCTGTGTTGCCCGTCACTACATCAGAGACACAGCCGTCGACTCTGACATACTGTGGCTGGCTTGTGAGGTAGTTGAAGATCCAGGCTGAGATGTCAGGGTGCAGCTGCATATCCAGGAGTTTGTCCCTCAGGAGTCAGGGCTGGATGGTATTGAAAGCACTGGAGAAGTCAAAGAACATGACTCTCACAGTGCTTCCCTTCGTCTCCAGGTGTGACAGGGCTTTGTGGGTCAGGAAGATGATAGCATCCTCCACACCAATGTGCCTCTGATATGCAAACTGCAACGGATCCTGGAAAGCAGTGAGCAGGGTCCTCAGGTGCTGGAGAACCAGCCTCTCAAATGACATGTGACGTGAGTGCCACAGGTCTGTAGTCATTAAGAGCGCTGGGACAACCTTTCTTTGGTATCGGGACGATGCAGGAGGTCTTCCACAGGTCAGGCACCTTCATCAGCCTCAGGGAGAGGTTGAAGAGGTGCTGAAAGACTCCTGCAAGCTGCCCAGCACACACCTTGAGGATCCTGGGACTGATGTTGTCTGGTCCACTGGCTTTTCTGATGTGGAGTCTGGAGAGTTCTCTTTGTACCTGGCTGGTAGTAAGAGTGAGAGTGGGACAGTGAGCGGGGGAGGGGTGTGGGGGACTGTCTATTGTCGTGCAGGTGGTCTGGACCTTGATGGGAGGAAGAGCAGAGTCTCCAGCAGAGGTGTGAATGGGGGCTGAGGTGGTGGGGGGAGACCTAGACCCACTATTTGAGCTCACTGGGTCGGGGGTTGTGTCAAACCTATTGAAAAATAGGTTCAACTCAGCAGCAAATACTGGGTCTCCTTTAATTCTGGGTTCCGGCCTGCTGCAGCCCGTCATCTGCTTCATGCCATTCCACACCTCCTTTGAGTTGTTCTGTCCCATCTTGGCCTCAATCCTGTCCTTGTAGTTATTCTTGGCCTCTCTCAGCTTCTTCTTTAACTCCTTTTGGACAGCCTTGAGCTCCTCACGATCCCTAGTCATGAAGGCCCTCTTCTTTCTGTTGAGGAGAGCTTTAATGTCTTTATTGATCCATGGTTTGTTATTTGAGAAGCAGCGGACCGTTTTGGTAGGGACTATGGTGTCCTTACAGAAACGGATGTAGTCTGTAATACAGTGAGAGAGGCCTTCAATGTCATCACCATATTCCTCCTTAAACAGTTCCCAGTCTGTGACATTGAAGCACTCCTGCAGGGCATTCTCTGTATCCTTATACCAAACCTTCAAAGTCCTTGTGTTGGCCCCCTGCTGCTTCACCAGGGGCCTGTTGGTGGTCTCAAGGTGGATGAGGTTGTGGTCTGATTCCCCAAGAGGGGGGGAGAGAAGAAGAGCTGTATGCTCCCTTCACGTTGGCATACAGGAGGTCCAGGGTTTTATTCCCTCTTGTAGCACAGTGCACATACTGTTTAAAGTTCGTCAGGACAGGGGAGAGAGAGACATGATTAAAGTCCCCGCTGATCAGTATGAGGGCGCTGGGATGCTGGGTTTGTAGTCCCGCGATCATAGTGTGGATGACGTCACTCGCGCTAGCGGCTACAGCTGATGGTGGGATGTAAACAGCAACAGCAATGGCATGTGAGAACTCCCGTGGCAGATAGTACGGGCGTAATCCCACCGCCAGCATTTCAACGTCTGGGGTACAGACACAGTCCTTCACAGTTACATGTCCGGGATTACACCATTTAGAGTTAATAAAGACAGCAAGACCTCCTCCTCTCTTCTTACCACTCTCTCTCTCCCCCTGTCCGCTCGTACCAGGGTGAAGCCAGCCAGATCGATGTGACTGTCCGGTATATTCCCATGTAGCCATGTCTCCGTGAAGCAAAGTAAACTGCACTCCCTGTAGACACTCTGGCTGTTTACTAAAGCTGTAAGTTCGTCCGCTTTGTTTGCGAGTGACCTGATGTTCCCCATGATGACCGATGGTAGAAAGGGTTTAAATTTCCTGTCTCTCTCGATCCGCTCCCTGACTTTAGCGCCGGCTTTCTTCCCCCGGCGGACACCTCTCCATAACTCCTGAGGAACACCGGCTCCATGCCTGAAGCTCAGTAGTTCCTCACGAGTGTACGTGATCATTCCAACTTGTGACATATATTGGAAAATATTATTAATGGCAGCCCTATAGTGATGTTGCATTTCCCTTTTCATTACAGTGACTTTTGTACTGTAACAGGGATACGTTGTGTTGCCCATGTTGTTTCAGTTTCTCACATTAAGATTATTTAATTAAACTGGTCTGTTAGAAATCAGCTAAAGAGCCATTTAAAGCTACCATTAGTTAAAGATGACACGATGTCTACTGGCATAATTTGCCAAATAACTAAATGTATATTTGTCCCAGAGAGCTCTACACACTACATCTAAGAAAACACATGCAAATGGACAAACTGCCAAACACACAGTGTTGCAGCAAATATGCAAAACCAAAGCAAACACAGAAACGCCCAGGTACGTAAACACAACAAATAAGAGGACTGCTGCTAGGAGAAGTGATCCCATTAGAGACTGTTTGTGCCCTCAGGACTTCTTCTAGGAGTCTCTTTTAACATCAAAGACATGTACTGTTTTTCATTTAGGAGAACATGTGACTGGGTTTGTGTCCCATGTGCACATCCATGTCCACTTTATCACGATCTATAACAACAAAGGACTTCTTGTCAAGGCTTCCCCTTTTTCCATGCATTGCCCAACTAGCAACTTGAAAAGCGAGAATAAAGTGCTGAGGAACAATGTTAGCTGCAACAACTTAAATAATACAGAATAAGACGCTATTACAAAATATAAAATAGAATTAAAAAATGTAAAATATAAAGATGAAAAATGTACAAAAGGTGCAATGTAGGAGCTGTGCAGTGGACTATGAGAAAAAATCTTAATGTGTGTAACTACTCACAGAGTGCATGTAAGGAAGATACATTTTTAAAGTCCAGTGGTTGTTAATGTAACGCATAAAGAACATCCTCATCTTTGCAGAATCATCATAACATAATCAGTTTCCAACCCTCTTAGTTAGTTATATCACACTGTCTCATGTCCTGTAGGTGTCTCTTCTGCTCATGAAGCGCTGCAGCCGCTCTCTTTATGAAGAACATCTCAGCCACCACCACTGTGGAGATCACAGCAGCTCATGGTG